TTACGAGGCTGTGAAGACGCCGCCGTCACTCACGCGCTGGCGATTGTGGGAAACTTTCTGCGTCGGGGGCAGAGGGGGTGTGGGAGGGGAGGGGGGGTTGTTGGGCATTTGTGGGGGCGCTGGGTGTGGGCACGGCTGGTGTCTTCTGGGTATGTGGTGGTAGTGCGAGTGGGCAGGGCTGGTGGCCTCTGGGTAAGTGGTGGGAGTGGTATCTGGGCATGAGGTGGCAGTCCAAGTAGGATCTAGGTATACGGTGGCATCTGGGTATGAAGCAACAGGGTAAATGGCATCTGGATATGTGGTGGCAGTGCGATTTAGGCATCTGGGTATGCGATGGCAGTGCCAATGGTAAGGGTATGAGGTACTAAGACGAGTTCAAATGCCGGAAAAATGCTGAACTTTGGTACCATCAGCGGCGGGCAATTTGAAGTAACTCTCCGCAGCTGCTTAGGCACTCGGGTCTTTATGGAGTGGCTAATGGCTTGTGAAATGATCATGCGAGGGTTGATGTTACCTTCGCGTTTCTGAAGCTTGCCTTATAATTTTCGGGGGAGACTATTATCATCTGTGTTAATACGATTTTGGCTGAGATGTACCATATAGAAAGAGAGAGAGAGAGAGAGAGAGAGAGAGAGAGAGAGAGAGAGAGAGAGAGAGAGAGCAAACATCCAGACTAAAACCGACAGCGAGAAAGCATTAGACAAAACGAGTCAATCACACAAACCAGAAAGATTAAACGAAAAAAAAAAAAAATGTGCAGACAGCGGTGTCCCGATGTCGCCGGCTGGTGTTCGGATGGAGTTTTGTTGTGCGAGGGATGTGTGTCGAAGCTTTTCCACGTGTCGACCTCGGTTTTGGCTTCAAGATCGGTGTCCGAGGCTTCACCTTGGCCTCGCCTGCCCTCCACGGCCCGTCATCACCCATGCCCTGACACAGCGTGGGGGCGTAAGAGCGTAAGGGGATGGGGGTGAGGGTATGGGGGCATGGGGGCGTGGGTTGGGCAGGGGTAAGGGAGCGGAGGGGCAGGGGAATGGGGGCGGAGGGGCAGGGGTATGGGGACGGAGGGGCAGAGAGGCATGGTGGCGTAGGGGTATGGAGGCGTGGAGGGGTTGGGCAGGGGCATGGGGAGAGGGCCGGGGTAGGTTTCTCCATTCGGCCGATGCTCCCTCGAGGCTTCAAAAACCGCTCGAATTTCTCTCCAAAATCGGTCAAAGTCGGTGTGTTTACGAGGCTGTGAAGACGCCGCCGTCACTCACGCGCTGGCGATTGTGGGAAACTTTCTGCGTCGGGGGCAGAGGGGGTGTGGGAGGGGAGGGGGGGTTGTTGGGCATTTGTGGGGGCGCTGGGTGTGGGCACGGCTGGTGTCTTCTGGGTATGTGGTGGTGGTGCGAGTGGGCAGGGCTGGTGGCCTCTGGGTAAGTGGTGGGAGTGGTATCTGGGCATGAGGTGGCAGTCCAAGTAGGATCTAGGTATACGGTGGCATCTGGGTATGAAGCAACAGGGTAAATGGCATCTGGATATGTGGTGGCAGTGCGATTTAGGCATCTGGGTATGCGATGGCAGTGCCAATGGTAAGGGTATGAGGTACTAAGACGAGTTCAAATGCCGGAAAATGCTGAACTTTGGTACCATCAGCGGCGGGCAATTTGAAGTAACTCTCCGCAGCTGCTTAGGCACTCGGGTCTTTATGGAGTGGCTAATGGCTTGTGAAATGATCATGCGAGGGTTGATGTTACCTTCGCGTTTCTGAAGCTTGCCTTATAATTTTCGGGGGAGACTATTATCATCTGTGTTAATACGATTTTGGCTGAGATGTACCATATAGAAAAGAGAGAGAGAGAGAGAGAGAGAGAGAGAGAGAGAGAGAGAGAGAGAGAGAGAGAGAGAGAGAGAGAGAGAGAGAGAGAAATAGAAGAGGAGAAAAAAGCAGGAACCGAACATCCGTTTGGCTGCCTTACGGGATAAATACCCAGCGGACGGAATGTAATCGTGTTTCACATTATAGACAATGACTGTTAATGCTGTCCGAGCCCGCTGATGCGCCGTCGGGGAGCAACAACCCGAGTTACTCCACCTACTCTGCTCTCCCACGCGGCTGGACAAGGGTCATTCCTGTCCACTACCACTAATTGTTTTATAGTTTGGCGGACTAGACGCTACAAATGCTACGAAGAAGCTTTAGGGCGCCGCGCGAGAGCGATTGTGATACCTAGGCAAAGGGCGAGGGAGGGCGAGGGTCGCGCGCCACCGCCATGCGACCGGCACTTGTTTTAGGAAAATGGCGGGAAGTGGATGGACTGCCTCGCCCAAGGTTGATAGTTCCCCTGCCGGCGCCGGGGAAAAAGGTGGAAAATCACGATGCCTTCTACCTTCTTTTTTTTCTCTCTTTGTGTGTGTGTACGTCCTTGTTTTTTTTCCCTCTCTCTGGCTGGATTTACGACACGCCACTCCTCATTCCAAGATACAGAAGCCACGATAAATAAAAACAAAAGAACAACAC